TCATCACTCCACAGGATTACTCTGTCCGCAGATAAGAAGTCTCCAGCCATCCAACGTTCGCCACAAGGTGCAGTGATTGAACATAGAAGGGAGAAATCACCGGCATCATATATCTAATGTGGATGATATATTAGTAAAAATCAAAATTTAAGTAATTTGTGAAACTATAATAATAAATAAGATATACCTGCCAATGTTTAGAGCATACAATTAATACAGTTCTCTGATTATATGGGCAACAAGTCATTGCAAGTGCATTTAAACATCGTATTTGTTTGCTTTCATGTTCATAAAGAGGCTCACTGTTACGATTCTCATGTCCAAGAAGAGTCCACACCTTGACTGTACCAGTCGTCGTTAAGGCCAGCACAACATCATCTTTAAATGAATGGAAGCGCCTGTTGCGCGTTAACTATATCTAAGAAGGTGTCATAGCGTTTTAAGCAAAAGAATTTTTAGTAAGAGTCAATAAAATGACACTTTATAAATGTCATAAACATATGAAAAAATATTAATTTTATACAAAATTAAGAAACTTTGTTGTAGTATTGATGAATAAATATGCTAAAAGTAGGAAACACAAACTATTTAAAACAGTTAATAATTTCAACCATAAATGATCAAGCCCCTGTAATACAGTGCTATAATTTCATGCAAAATAAAATGTTTCAAATTAAATTAAACAGTTATCTATAAAGAGATTTTGAGTCATGCCAAATAATCCACAGAGCATCTTAAAAATCTAATCAATAATTATTCATTCCCAGATATAGCATAATTACATAAAGACAAAATACATCAGACTATTAGACATTTTGTATTAGTTAATAGACTCTTATTATTAACTTTTGGAAAGCCAGAAAGTCGCTATAATGGTTTGAACGTTGACAAGAGATTTATATAAGACATACCTCATATATGTACATATACCAGTTTTTAGAACAAATCTATTGACTTATATTTGTTTTGCTGGCCCTCTAAAAGTTTTAAGCTTCTAAGATACCGTATATTAAGGGATATAATCTTTAAGATTTATGTATATGCACTAAAAACAGATACATCTGATGTGCTAGTATTGTAAACAATATTCTTGATGAATTACAGTACATGCAAAATTACACTTTTTTACATTATTTACATTCTTTTTCATTCATTGTCAATTCTAGGGATGTACTTAAAAGACATTGTAGATATAATATTTTATATAATAAAATAGTTTTCTTACATATCTTTATTAAAAATCCTATAGAAAATATGAAAATAGAACTTTATTCTAGTAATCAATAAAATTTTAATCATATAGTATTTTATTGTATAATAAAATACCAGCACTAAAATTTTCATACAAGTGCATTCATTGCATTCAAACACTAAACTTGTTCTAAAAATTATCAGTTTAAATATATACTTACGATAGATATAGTATACCATAAATGATATGAAAGTGATTAATGTAGATAAATGCAATGTATGCCATAATGATTTTGTGAAAGGAAATGCGAATGAAGGAGAGTAGCATAAAAGAAAGGTTTGTTCAAGTATAATGCCTGCTCATTTGATTTTATTATTCTAGAAAATGAGAGTCAAAAATCAGAGGAGAAAAAAATATGAAAAAAATGATAGAGCCTTAACTACCAGTGTAAAAACACTGATATGTCTCCGCATTTGTTTCATTAACATGCTGCAACAATGTAATTTTCATTAATTTATAATAATATTTAGATTAACACCGCTAAATAATACAATATAAGATATATTAGATAGTACTATCAATTTGAATGATTACAAAATACTCTTTACAAAAGAAAAGATACATAAATAGTTAAATGCCAAGTTTTTAATCTACCCAAAGCTTTTTTTATTAATTGCTTGAAAAATTAGCAGAAAATTCTAAATCACAAGAAGATAAAAATATCTATGCATATAAATTTTTATCTTTGTTAATTACTTTGCTAAAAAAATATTACAAAATTTATTATATATTCCAATTAAATAGTATAGTGCACAAAGAATATATATTTTCATGGACGACTTTGTTCGATATCTAAAGGAAACACCTGTTGAGCAGAAAGATAGTATATAAAAAATTAATAGGCCAGGAGATACCAAGCATATTGTACAAATAAATATTGTACTTAATATTTAATCGAAACAATTCACTTATATTATAATGAAATAGTATCTCTTTAGAGCAATAAATTTTTGCACAATACAGATTGGTAGAGAAATCAGAGAAAGATAAGGTTGCAATTTATGGTATAAAGCATAGGTGTGATGGAGTGTAACTAACTTGTATGCACGTAGAACCGACCTTTCCGTTTGGCCGGCCGCAAAACGTGCAAAGCACTGATCCAGTCAGGATTAACACGTGAGCTTAAGGTGAATAAAACTTCCAAACTAAAAGGGTCCATTACTAAAACCTCAGGATAATATCTAAAATTATAAAATGAATATTCTTTAAATTAGAAATTTGTTAAAGAAATGTATATACTGTTTTAAAGTATAATATAATTATAATATACCCCGAACAAAACAATCTAACATCTTCTCCACCAGCAGAGACATAAGGCAACATCTGTGTATGAACACTGGTGAGCTTTACAGCTTCCCTGCATTTTCCATCAACTAAGTCCCATGTACACATTTCTCCACTTTCACTACTACTGACAATATAATTTTGTTCCATAATAACACTTGCTCGACTCAGGCACATTATTGGAGCAGTATGACCAACAAGCAAACATCTTGGACTCATCTTAATATATAATTAATAACATAATCATTTAATGCTAATATTAATATTTCTGAAATTAATTAAATGAATTAAAATGTAATTATACATTTACCTTCAATGTTTCAGGATCTACTTGCCACAAGCATATCTGGCCATCATAACATCCTGTTACTAATGTTTTTTGATCTCGAGACAAATAGATACAGGAAACACAATGAGTTGGAGCTATGCGTCCCCATAAAACTATGGGTACTACTAAGCTTGTGCCCGCTGTCATTTTAAAAATTCAACCTACAATTTATTACAAACTGGATTAAGTAAAAATTAACTTATTATTTTAGCACACATAGTCATTGTAACATTGAACATAAAGTTGGAATATAACGAGTATAATTAATATAAAATTAAATGAAAACTTTAAACAACTTATTTATATTTTGTAAACGTAATTAAAATGAACTCTTGTCTTTTTTGTTATAATTATACATAACATTATGTGTAACAAATTATTAACATATTTTAATGAAAATAATTCTATAATGATGATATATCATCTTAATATCCTTTGGAAGTATCCCAAGTTTGATTGAAGGTATAAGAAATTTTCATATCTGTAGTAATATTTAAATGCTATAAATGTAAAATATATTACAAACATAGATACAACTATTTAATTTTGAACTTTAAAACTATTACAAATTTTCACAAATTTATATTTAACAATTATTTTCATTACATGTTCTATTTCGGAATAAATTCATTTACTCGTATGTTAAAACAAAATATGTTATATCTTTATTTAATATAATTATTGTAAACGATATAAAGGAACACAACTTATTTTTTAAATAAGTCATTGTGATATAAATGCACAGCATATTAATTTTTTCAGTTAGTAAAAGAAGAAGTTTTTGTTTTGATAATATAAAAACAAAATACATATAGGCTATGTATAAGTACATGTTTTATTTTGTAAAACTATAAGGATGAAAATTGCTAAATCTACAACATATGCTCCTCTGACATAGATGATATAAAATAACAGTAATTCATAGAAACAATTCAAAGGAAGTCGTTAAATAACAATGCAATCAAATAATCCCGTAATAAATGAATGACAAAACCTTATTATAAAGTACTCAAAGAATAATCAGTATTATATTAATACTAATAACAAATATTTTCATTGATAGCAAGTGAATTCTTCGTCCATAGCAAAAAAGGGTTTGACAAGCATCTACCATAAAGGCCATCGTTATAACGCGATACATTAAGTCCTCGAAGAAAACCTATTAAAAGCAATTAGAGGCGTCTGCTATATCACGTTCACGAGATGTCACTGACAATTTGTAAGGTTCTAATTTTATCGCATTTATATGCAATTATTTTAATAAATCAACATGTATTCTATGTAAAAAAACATAGATATATTTACCGAAAATACTGAATATTAATGACAACGGCTCCAAACGTCGTAACTGGCGATATATGCCAAAAATCATACAACCCTTACTGTACTCTCACGACCGTGGCCATCTTGATGTTGGAAATAGACGAATAACGCATAGAATCAGCTGTTCCACGTCAAAAGATCCCTATCCCTAGTGAAATTCTCTCTAATTCAATATAAAGTGAAGCAAGCAAGAGTTACAATATGTTTGATTATTTTTTGATATTTACATTACAGAGACAGAAAATTAAATTAAAAATTCATTTAATTTGTTAGATTAACATCATTATTAATAAGACAAACACGTGGATCACACATTAGTTTCATTAATGTAAGATTTCAGAGAAATTCAGGAAAAAATATATTAATCTGTAGATGAAATATATTCGTTAACAATGTGATAACAAAAAAGATATATCATTACTTAAAAATAAAATCATATTGATATTTAATTGAATTCATATTACTTAAAAAATTTTTGTCTTATCCAATTATTTAAAGTTTACTATATAAATATAAGTACTTATATATGCCTATATAATTTAAAAATGTGGGTCAGTCTTAAGATAAACGTGACAAGTGTTTCGAAGTAAAGATAACTTCACATATACATATTTTGTATGTATGTAGAAATATAAGCTGAAATAATAATATAAAATAAGCTGAAATTGTTGAATCTTGTTATTGTATAGCATAATTATATCTAAAGAGCTGTAAAAAGAACTATCTAGTATCATTTTATGGTTCTTAATAAATACGGACATTATTAAAGCATAAAGAAAAAATTCAAGCGTAAATAAGCATTAAGAAACATTCGGTAAGATATGATAGTATTTAGATCTATTAATATAAATACTTTTTACGTCGTATACGATATAAAATATGATAATAGAGGCTATCAGTAAACGAATAGAAATACGCAATATGAATATTTTGTTATCAATATCAATATCATCATCAATTTAATGATCTTCTTGTAGTGTATGATTTACATAATTTTATATTGCAAAATTACAATTTGTAATATTGAAGATAAGAAATATTAGTCATTGCTACAATGAAGTGTCACTATGAGATATTAGGGGTACCACGAAATGCTTCTGATGATGACTTAAAAAAGGCTTACAGGAAACTAGCTTTAAAGTGGCATCCAGACAAAAATTTAAATAATCCAGAAGAAGCAAAGGAACAGTTTCAGCTTGTTCAACAAGCTTGGGAGGTATTAAGTGATCCTCATGAACGTACCTGGTATGACAACCATCGTGAAGCTATTTTAAAAGGTGGTATTGATGGAGATTATAAGGATGACTCTATTGATCTCTTTCAATATTTCTCAACTACTTGTTTCAAGGGTTATGGAGACGATGAAAAAGGATTTTATACTACTTATCGTAATGTATTTGAAAAATTAGCAGTCGAGGACATAGAATTTGCAAAAGAAAAAGATTTAGATGAAGAAATTCCAGGATTTGGAGATTCACAAAGTTCATATAAAGAAATTGTTCATAAATTTTATGCTTATTGGCAAAGTTATAACACAAAAAGATCATTTGCATGGTTAGATCCTTATGACATTAGAGATGCTCCTAATAGAAAAGTCGCACGTCTTATTGAGAAAGAAAATAAGAAAGTTCGAGACAAAGCTAAGAAAGAAAGAAATGAACAAGTAAGAAATTTAGTTGCATTTATACGTAAACGTGATAAACGAGTACAGGCTCATATAGTTAAGCTTAGTGAACATGCAAAAGAAAATTTGAAAAAGGTAGAAGAACGAAGAAGACAACAATTATTAGAAAGACAAAAACAATTAAAAGAACATAAAGTATCAGAATGGTCAACATCTACAAACATAGAGGCCGAACTTAAAAATATTGAAGCTAATCTTGATCAAGAATTTGGAGAAGATTTATCTTCTGAAGGAGACATGGATGATGAAAATGCAATAGATGATAATTCTCTGTATTGTGTAGCTTGCAATAAAATATTTAAAACACATAAAGCATTTAAAAATCATGAAAACTCTAAAAGACATAAAGATAATATTGCAATGATAAAACTATCTATGATGAAAGAATGTAACAAATTTGGAAATGTTCAAGAAAGTGATGTTAATTCTGAATCAATCTCACAATTTGAGAAAAAACTAGCAACAGATTCACAAATTCCTGATTTTTTATTAAATCCTGTTCAAAATAATATGGAGAATAAAAGTAGTGCTGAAAAAGAAATTTCAGAGGCAGAATTAATATCAGATGATGAAGAATTTAAGGATTTTGCAAAACCAGAAGGAATAATGTGCTATCCAGAAGAATCTAAATTTGCTGTGGAATCTCAGATGGACGATTTCCTCCGTGTATCACCTAAAGTACTGAAATATAATAATGAATATACAACTTCTGAAGATGAGCTTATTTCTGACCAAGAAAATAAAGAAATTGTGCGACCTAAGAAACAAAAAAAGAAAAAACAGAAAAAGAATGTTCAGAGTCCAGTAGTAGAACAAATTAGTGACGAAGATCTAAATATCAATGAAGATATTTTGTTATCAAAAAAACAACGCAAAAAACAGCAACACAAGCAGACAATATTAAATAAAGTTGTTGAGAATAATCAAAAATTGTCCAATGATGAAATAAGGAAATGTGAGGAAGAGATAATCAAAGAAATAGATGAAAGAGAATTATTACCTAATAATTTAGAAACAAGTACTGCAATTAATGAGAAATCTAAAAGTAAGAAGGCTAAAAGTGCAAAAAGAAAATCTTTAGAAAATGAAAATGGAGGTAAAAATAGGAATGGATCACAAAGCATTGAAGTGCCAGATTTAGCACATTGTTGTGTCATGTGTAAACTTGAATTTCCTAGTAAAAATAAATTATTTGAACACTTGAAAAAGACAGGACATTCTGTATATATACCAAGTTCAGTGAAAAATAAAAGAAATCAAGAAAAATTGAGTAAAGGCAAGGGGAACAATGATAAAAGGAGTCATTAATGTTCTGACAATTAAACAAGTTATATGTTACTTGATTCAATTTAGTGTAGTTAGTTCAAGAAATGTGAAAAATACTCAATTAATAAAACATATAAATGATCATGTATTATTGTACTTTTGATATACATTCTAGACATTGTTATTAAATAAACATAATAGAAATATATATTTGCATAAATTAGTTTTTACTTCATACGAATGCTTGTTTCATTGTATTGTAAGCATAATATAATATAAAGATCAATACAATTATAACACACCAAAATATAATAAATGTAAATTAATTTATATGAAGCTTAAATTTAATAGACATTGCTGATATGTATTATATTTTACATCATAATTTTAAATAATATATATTATGTTCGTGGCAAAAAAAAATTGTAAGATTTACACTTAAATTTTTCAGGTAAAATATTAATATGAGTGCAGTAACTAGATATGAATGCAATTATTCACTGTGCTGCTAATCATAGGTAAGATTTGTATTCGTTTTTTCTTCTTTTAAGTAGTTTTTAAACAATTAGTTATGAAAATGTAATTAAAAGATAGTGTACAAAAGAACAGACCATATTTAATATTTAAATACTAATAAAGGAAATAAGGAAATAATTATTAAATTCAATAAAATAAATAAATAAGAAAATAAGAATTAGATTTAGGTGACAAATAATATGTTAGATTCTAATTTAAGGTCCAGAATTATGGCTGCCAAAAAGCTAATTTATCCTGCAGCTGAACGTAACAAAAGTCCAATTTTGTCAGTTCTTCAAAAATATATTCAGCATAGTCCAGATAAAACTTTCTTGGAAATTGCATCTGGTTCTGGACAACATATAGCCTATTTTGCCACCCATTTTCCTCAAATTTCATTTTATCCTTCAGAATATGAATCAAGGCTATTCGAAAGTATTGCAGCTCATACAAATGGACTTATAAATGTGAAAGACCCTTTAAAGATAGATATTACAACAGATTTTCATACTTGGGGTAACAATATCTTTAAAGAAGCCAATATTGATTATATATATAATGCGAATATGATACATATTTCACCTTATCAGTGTTGTGTTGGTTTATTTAATAATGCGGGTAAACTGTTAAAGGATGATGGTATTTTATTTACATATGGACCTTATGCTATAGACGGAAAAATAACGCCAGAAAGTAACGTTAATTTCGATAAATCATTGAAGCTTCAAGATTCAAACTGGGGCCTGAGAGATATTAATGATCTGAAGGCATTAGCAGAAAAGAATGGTATTATGTTAATAAATGTTATTGACATGCCTGCTAACAATAAAACTATTATATGGAAAAAATGTTAAGCGCATAGTAACAGTGAAGTAATTGAGTCAGTAAGATGAAAAATAGTGCCAGTCCAAAAACCGTATTTTCAAGTATTTTATAAAATAGCTTCAGTTTCGACATCTACGTCATTAATTTTATAGCGTTGTTCCGATTTAAACAAATGAATGTTCATATATGTCTAACAGTTAAAATCTATCATAAATCTTAAATAATTGAAATGAAATCACATTAAGCTTGCACTGTCTTCCTGTTTTTATTGAAATTCTGCATAATTTTGCTTCGACTACAAAATGTATATTAAAACCATTAGATTTGCATTTTGATAACTAGTATAGTTTTCTTACTTAAATCTGTATCTCGATAATTAATATGTATGCAATATTATTATTCTGTACTCTTCAATATTATAAATATATTGTAACCAATCTTTCATTCAATTTTATTCAAGTTTATACTTATGTCATATAATTCTTATGGTAATCAAAGAAGTTTACATTTTCTAATCCTTCTGGTAAATAATTCATTCCTGATTCATCTTTATGTTTCATATTGTAACCTTTGCTATATCCTAAAATAAAATTTATATAATATATTATATATTATTAAGAAAATACTTTTTAATGGTCTTAAATTTCATTACACATGATTTTTAATGATGGCAAGCAATATGTAATGATTACCTAGATTCTTCATAAGCTTTGTTGGAGCATTTCTTAAATATAAAGGTACTCCAGGCTGAGGTCCTTTATGTTCAGCTATTACTCTTTGAGCAGCTCTGAGTGCATCTTCCATTAATCTAGACTTTGGTGCTCTTGCTAAATATGTTGTACACTGTGCTAAAAGGACATCACATTCAGGCATTCCTATCATCTTGCAACCATGCATTGTATGTATAGCAATTCCTGGAAATTATTTCCCAAATAATCATATAATATAGCATAAGACTCCAGATAAAATAGATAATTAGTCTTATGAATGTTTAATGTTACCAAGTGCTTTTGGATCTTCTAACCCAATATCTTCGCATGCCATTCTAACTAATCTTCGTGCAATGTACACTGGATCTTCACCACCTAATATCATTCTTGTTAACCAATAAAGAGACGCATTTTCATCACTTGCTCTAACAGATTTATGTAGAGCTGAAATCATATCATAATGTTGGTCACCTCTCTTGTCATATAACATATGAGTTTTCTTAAGGCCTTCTTTAATGTTAGCTAATGTTATAGTCACAGGACCATTTTGTAAAAATTCTTCATTGCTCTGTATTTTACATTGAACTGCTAATTCTAGTCCACTTAATGCTATACGCGCGTCACCATCACAAGTTTCTGCCAGCCATTCTATGCTCGGTTCATCTATAATAAATTTTGGTATTTGATTTGCACTTTCCAATTTCTTATTTGAGTTATATACTGTTCCCTCTAGTGAATACACTGCTCGATTTAATATAGACATTAAATTAGATGTGTTCAATTTCTCCAAAACAATGACTCTACAACGACTCAAAAGTGCGGAATTTAAGCTGAAAGAAGGATTTTCTGTTGTTGCACCAATTAGTGTAATGATACCAGATTCAACATGTGGTAAAAATACATCTTGCTGAATTTTATTAAAACGATGTATTTCATCCATGAAAACCACTGTACGTCTGTTAAATTTTAACTCATTAGAAGCTATAGTGATTACTTCTTTTACTTCATTTACACCAGCCATTGCTGCAGATAACTTAACATATCTCATTTTACCATTTGACTTATTCTTACATATGTAAGCTATAACATTTGCCAAAGACGTCTGTAATTAAATAAACCTATATATATACATTTATATAAACAAAACTTTGTTACATCAATTTTATTAAAATATAAAAATTAGTAGATTATGTATAATAAAATTATTTTAGTATACCTTTCCACAACCAGGTGGACCCCATAAAATTATATTTGGTATTTCAGACTTATTTAACAATTGATATAAAACAGTAGATGGTCCAAGAACATGCAATTGACCAACATACCCTGAAAGTGTTGTAGGTCTCATACGTTCAGCAAGAGGTATATGATCGTTCCCAAATAACTTTGTAATTTTTTTATCTGTCTAGAAGTTATTATTATTAACAGCTTTCTATTTTAATATTCTTCTCTTTTTTATAAAAGGAAAAAAAGATAAGTACATTAATATTAATTGATGTCTTTGGACTTTGAGAATCTATATTCATTACTGATGATACCATTTTAGTTGTATTTTTTACTAATCCTACATCATCCTTTTTTACTTTGGTATCGCTTAATTTCATATACTTCCTTGCAGGACTTCCATCTTTAAAGGATGATGAAGATTCTTTGCTTGCTGATTCATTTAGGAATAAACATTTACTAACATGATTCTCTATTATTACAGAGGAAAATTCTTTAGAACAAATGGGACAACAAATTTTATCATTGTCCATGTCTCAATCTACAATACGAATATATAAATATAAACACATTATATCTAATAATTATAAAGACAATGCAATATATTTTGGAAATGATGGAAAATTAGTATTATAATTTGTTAAATACCAGATGATATAAAATATTGAATATCATATATTAAACTGTTTTGAAATCATTCACAATTTTTTTAAATTTCAAAGAAACTTTCGTTCCTTATAAATAAAATGACGTATATGTATATACTGTACAAAACTACCATACGATACGGAGAAAGGATTTCCAAAGGGAATGTCGGAGATAGTACCGTTATCTTACATGTATATCACATCGTATACCTTAAGCCTGATGGTCACTTATATCAATTCTATGTCTTTAATATTTTGTCGTAATGTTTAACACTACCTCTACTTAATAATAAAGAAATTGGGATATCACTTTTACGGAAATTGAAATTTTTATAAGCAGAAATTTATGTGTCCAATCTATTCCTCGATTGATGACGTGGGTCGACATTAGACATCAAGTAGTGGCTCAGTAACGACTCTCTTGATTTTTTCGAAATAATAGCAATTAAGAAAATAAAAATACGATATAGGTATAATACAACGGCTGTTTCGAATAGCAAATTTGTGCAATGATAGTTCGTCGAAGGCGAAGGACATTAGATAACAAGCAATCGCAGGTGCAAAGCGCCAAGTTTGATTATGAACATATTTCTACCAATTGTGTCGAAAATGTTGTCGAACAGGAGGAGGTAGGTAAATAATTAAATAATTAAGCAATTAAAAGATAACTTTTAATTTTTCTTGAAATCTTTTTTATATCTTTGGCCCGTTTGTTTTTTATTTGATATTTTTAACTACCAACTCAAACTTATTCTTTATCATTGAATATTTATATATATTTATCTTCTTTCCAAACTTTAGTGAATTTATATGCATATATTTACACATTTTGTATATTTAACTAACATAGCCTGTATATACATACCCACATACAGCACAATTAGTTTTCTTTTTTAATAGAAAGACGGAGAAATTGTTTCAAATGTAATTGAGAAGTTTAAGACGCTAGAAACGCTAAAAACTCGAATTAAAATCAGTCTCGAAGTTGATTTAATTTCAGTTATTTTATTAGTAAGTGGAATTGTTACTCGATTTTATCGTTTAGAAGAACCACGGAGTATAGTGTAAGTTATTTTCTATATTAATGAAAGTATAAAAAAAAAAGTTATTTTCTAACCGTTAATATATATATTATACATAGAATACACGTAATAATACATCATGATATATATGTTTTATATATAATATAAATTTGAGATGTATTTATAAATATCACAAATTTTCAATTTTCTTAAATTAAAAGTTTGTATATGAACTATGGAATTTTGTGTAGAAATTTAAGTATTTCCGCATATTTTTCAATTAAAATATCATAATAATTATTGATGTATTTAAAACAGGTTTGATGAATTGCATTATGGAAAATATATAGGACTTTACATGAAAAGAACATTTTTTTTTGATTCACATCCTCCTTTGGGAAAACAGCTTATTTCTGCAGTAGCGTATTTAGCTGATTTCGATGGTCAATTTAAATTTGACAGAATAGGAAGCCCTTACGCAGATATTGTCCCTTTGTTCGCATTACGATTAGTACCGGCATTATGCGGCAGTCTATTAATTCCGACAGCCTATCATTTGATTTTAGAATTAGGTTTAAAACAATGGACTGCTGTTTTGGCGGGAATTTTATTACTATTCGGTAATTTATCATATTATATTTTTATTATAGAATATAAAATACATATACATATTTATATTGTATTAGTTATATATTTTTGTATTATTGTTTCAGACAATGCTTTATTAACACAATCTAGATTTATTCTAATGGAAAGCATTCTAATGCAGTTTTCATTATTTGGACTGATATGTATTATCAAATTCAGAAAAGTAATGGATCGACTAACATGTTTATCTTGGTGGATATGGTTAATTTTGGGCATTACTAATTTAACATGTGCATTGTGGTAAAACTTTAAAAATATTATGTAAATATTTCTATAAACAAGTTCATTAACATAAATTTAATATAAATTTTTTTCAGTGTAAAATATGTTGGATTATATTCATTGATTCTTGCATTATTTTTAATTGCTTATGATTATTGGAATCTAATAGCAAGAAAAACTTTATCTAACGCAATATTATGCATTCATCTTATGATAAGAATATTGATAATATTAAGTGTTATTTGTACTGTTTACTTGACTGTATTTTATATACATTTAACAATACTCTCTAAAGCTGGACCACACGATTCAGTAATGACAAGTGCTTTTCAAGCAAGTCTAGATGGTGGTCTTGCTAGCATTACAAAAGGCCAACCTTTAGAAGTTACGCATGGATCACAGATTACCTTGAGACATACATATGGAAGAGCTTGTTGGCTTCATAGTCATAGTCATATGTATCCATTAAGATATCCAGATGGAAGAGGCAGTTCTCACCAACAACAAGTTACATGTTATTCGTTTAAAGATGTCAACAATTGGTGGATTGTGAAAAAACCAGAGCGAAATGATTTAGTTGTTACAAAACCTAGTGAACCAATAAAACATGGAGATATAATACAATTAGTACATGGAATTACAAGTCGAGCTTTAAATTCACATGATGTTGCTGCCCCAATGACACCTCAGAGTCAAGAGGTGTCTTGTTATATTGATTACAATGTATCTATGCCTGCCCAAAATTTTTGGAAAGTGGAGGTTACTAACAAAGATAATACTGGTGATGTTTGGCATGCGATTCAAAGCCAGATTCGATTAATACATGTAAATACAGATTATGCACTAAAATTTAGTGGAAGGCAATTGCCTGACTGGGGCTTCAACCAGCATGAAGTAGTGGCAGATAGATTAGTAGACCAAACAGACTCCATATGGAATGTTGAAGAACATAGATATACTAAAAGTGAAGATCAGAAGCAAAGAGAAAGAGAATTAATTAATGCTGAAATGATTCCATTACAAGCAACTACTTTGAGCTTTTGGGAGAAATTTGTAGAATTGCAGATAAAAATGCTTTTCAATGGTCAAGAAGGACAAAACAGTCATATGTATTCTAGTGATCCTTTAGATTGGCCATTAATGTCTAGAGGAATTGCATATTGGGTTTCTAATGACAGTAATGTAAATATGTATTGAAATATGTTTTTCTAAACAAATTATCCGATTTTATTACAATTCAATAATATTCATTATCACTTATTAATATTAATGTAGTTATATATGTATATATATGTGTATATATATGTGTATATATATGTGTGTGTATATATATATATATATATATATATATATATATGTGTGTATATACATATATGTATATTTTTATGACAGGCTCAAGTGCATTTATTAGGGAATATAGCAATTTGGTATTCTGGAACGGCATGTGTAATTGTCTATTCATCTCTTTTAATATTTTATATGTTAAGACGGAAACGAATGTGTTTTGATATTGCATATGAAGAATGGAAGAAATTTGTTAATGTTGGAAGCATGTTGTTAGCTGGATATTTATTACATTTTTTGCCTTTTATATTTGTTGAAAGAACTCTATTTCTTCATCATTATTTACCAGCATTTATTTTTAAACTACTGCTTACAGCAGCAACAATAGAACATTTATATTATGTAATTAGGTATGTTAGAGAGATTATATACAAAACGGATCTTATGTAACTGGAAACTTTTTCAATAATAATTAGAAAAAAGATAGTCGTAATAAGAATAATTGTCGATACAATGGTGCTTCTGTAATTGTATACAGTGATTTTTTAGTGGGAGCATAAGTTTAAGATACTAGGGTTAGGAGATCGAAAAATTACATTATATTATACATATATGTATAATATGTCGTAAAATATTTTGAAATGAATGTTTTATTAGAAAAAGAAAACGTTTCTTCCAAGAGAAAGACCACCTGTTCCAGTTGCATGATTTATCACTTATAATTTATTAATTTTTTGAAACACACTTATAAAATTTAACTCAGCTTTTTTAATTTCCAGAGTTCGATATCAGCACAATTTTTTGATATATACATTAAAGTTCTGTACTATCGTATGGATGACCTTTATTATTTATGTATTTAAAAAATTTATTATTCTTAGTTATGGCACAACTCATTTAAGTGCCAAGGAAGTTTTAAAGTTCAGATGGAAAGACACATGGGATTTTATTATACATAAAACATAATAGACAATCAAAGATGTAAAGTTTTTTTAAATATACATATATAAAATTGTTATCTGCTTGTATCAAAAGTTATTTAATGTATCACTTATATATACATTGTATGTTGATATTATAAAGAACAAATTTTAATAATTGTAAGAACATTGTTCAAATGTTCAAGGTACAAGTTTAATTCACATATCTAGATGTATTATTCTTCTTACTTTTTTTACATAACGAAAAGTATATGATAAATTATATAGACTGATTACATTTTATAAAATTCCCTCTTATTATATGTATATAATAAGCAAATATAAATATGAACAAATAAATATAATGATATAAACTTTAATGCTTATAATTATCATATAATTATGTTATGAAAACTATATAGAAAAATAAACAATTATATATTTAAGATAAATTATATTTACATTATATACAATGTGTCCGTTTTATCTGAAAATACATTTTCTTAAATTTTCAATTTCCTTATTTCGAATATTTTGAAAATAATGGATGTCGAAACATACTTGAAACAAATATTGTACGTTGTCCGATTTCAAGGGGAGCGTATCATACCGATATTCATTCAAAAGCTCTATAAAGATCATGGTTATATTTTTAAATGGGAACCATATCTTTTTGTTTCATACCTTTGTAACCGATATCCAAACCTTTTCAAAACACCATTGCTTGTATTTTTTGCATGAATCACTATTGAAATGTTAGATATCAAACTTGATATGCCGGCTACATTGGCGTTATCCATTGTATATCATAGGGAGATTGCTAAAATTATATGCAAAATAATAATTAACTAAAAAGGGCCGATTGTATGTGTGTACTAAATATTATTACTAGAAAGGCTAGTCGCTTGTCCTTTTATGTGGATATCTTTGAAAGGAATACAAATTTCCATCCTTCTTAAGAATTAATATTTCGATGGTGCAAAAAGTACAAGTAGTATTTTGAAAATGTTTTGCTGTCGGCTATAAAAATATGGAATAAAAAAATATAGTTCCCACTTAAGAATATAATTATGACCTTCACAAGGCTTTCCAAAATCATTGTAAGATAAATTTTTTGTATCATCCATTGTTTTCAAGATATTTATGGACACGCTGTGTATCATATAAATCAATAATACTCTAAAATATTGAAAGAAAGTTAAACAATTCAGATAAAAGGAATATAATCAGTTCTGCTATGTATACATATAGAATTAAATCGAACATAATACAAAAGAAACATGTTTTATATATTATTAGCATAATCATGTTTTTATATTCAAATTTTTTATAACATTCTTTTGTACAGTAACAATTTCTTAAAAGTTATAATTTAATACAATAATACTAATGTTAGAATAATAAACAAAAACATACATATATTGTATTAATATGTAATCCACTGATTTAAAATTTAAATTGTAAAATTCAGACTTTTCTGTTTATAGAATAAACATTAATATTTCTATATATACAAATTAAAAGAATAGTTTTATACAAATTTGACTTTCATTATAACTAGAACCAATGTATGTGAATATATCTTTGTACAGTTTTTAATAATAGCACCGACATAATTTGAGAGATACAATAATACATCAATAGTATAAAACAGAATAAAACATACTGTTTTGTTATTAAAATTTAATGTACGTATTTAAATTTATTTTTACGCCAGCCAATTTTATTATTCGTATTACATATTATCATTGTATGTAAAAACTATAGACCGAATGAGACCATCTCGCACATTATCCGCACTATTACCGACACCGAATGAGAAGGATACAGAATCACAGGTCATATCTTGGGTACAAAGTCCAATTGGATACCACCCAAGTGTATTAAAAACTACCCCAACTCGATAAACCTATAGTTGAAAAAAGTAAAAATGATTTTCACAAGTACTTACAGATTTTCATTCTAGTACGCTTAAAATTATTGTTTGAATATATACCTTATTCTTTTGTATATAAACAGGTCGATTAAACGTAATTTCCACAAGGGTATTAATTTTTACTTTTGTCGAAAAGTGCGTGTAAGTTAATCGTGTATTATCAGAATCGAGAAGATGAGCATACAAAATTTCGGTATATGAAGTACTACTAAGAGGATAATTCAAGTCATTAGTCTGTAATAAAAATAATATATAGCGGTTAATGTAAAGTCTGAACATTGTGTTTGCCTCCGATATTATTTAACTTACTACTTCAGTCATCTGTGTAGGTACTTGTACACCTAATACATAAATATTTTTGTCTACACTAAAGGTCACGGAACAGTCCAACACATTTGCATTAAGACATTCTGTTAATCGAATAACAGATCTTAGACAATAATATTTTAATCCCTCTTGTATACCACCTTCAATTACAGATAAATTTTCAGCATCCTTTCTTACTCCACTATCAATTACTGTTGGCGGTGTATTTCGTAATGTACTGCTAGATTCAGCATCATTAATAAAAACAGGTTCACGATATGTAGATGTTGGTAAAGACCAGCAATGTGACATAAATGAGTTATAACATGGATTAACTGGCTTAAACCTCTGCAAAATGAAATCTCATGAAGAATAGTTAAAATCTAAAAGTTATCGTGCAATATCTATCCAACTTACAATGGAACAATTTGTACGTGTAACTGGAGGTTTATATATGTTAACTCTACTGTGTGAATTAGTTGAAAATCCTTCAGGCATAGGTGCTTTATTTCCAGTGCATAGTGTGTTCATGAGTATTGCAAAAGTTTCATCTTGAGTAAGTAACGGTGACATTCCTGGCCCTTCTGCAAATTCCTGAGCACTTAAACTTAAAAATCTAATTTTTGATAATGCATTACCAATTACTGACTTTAAAGACTTTCCATCATTAGGATCAAGAGATTTTCTTGTGCATTCAGCTTTTGCCCAACGTTCCACTGCATTAAATAATTCCACTTCAGAGTTTATTTGTAAATCTTCTTGTTCTAGCACTGTCAATAATGTTCCTAATTCAACTTCTTCCCAATTAGGTTCTTTTAAAACTTCATTTGTCTTTGTGCAAATGATTTGAAGACACTTTTCCATCAGTACATGCTCATCAAATAATCTAGCAAATTCATATGCTCTGCAAGCTGTTTTTGGAGACAGGTCAGAACATAGATACTTTGTACATTCTTTTACCAGAGGAGGAAGCATATATTTTTTGGCACAATAATATAATTCACAGGCTAGTTCAAAAGAACTTAAATCAACTCGATCTGTATATATGTATTCTAAAAGAGCTTTGAAAGCTTCTGGTTGAACGTCTCGAATAGGTATCAGGTCATTTTTTTCTGCCATACCCCCAAAAAACATAGCTTCAAAGACAGGGCTAGACATAGCTAAAAATAATTTATGTCCCTTTAATGTTTGTTGATGGGGTTCTTGCCCAACTACAAATTTGCAGTCAGACCATTGTCCTGTCTCTAATAAATATTGACTGCGTTCTGAAAGTCTTTGTTTGTTGGTCTGCCAATCACAAGGCAGATCCATTTCTACAGAATTCAGAATATGAGATTAAATACGACTCACGTAATTATACGTTGACTAAAACTGCAATAATAAAGGTAAGAATAAAAAAAGGATAAAAGAAGAATCAATTACAAAAAAAGGATCTAAATATTGCAAGAGCAATACTTTGACGTATTAGGTTTGATGACCATACGTACCTATCTATTTGTGATATGTATTATCGCTATAAATACAAAATATGATATAAATGGTGCTAAAAAAAATCCGTTAAAGTGTTCAATGAGCATCAAAATACGCGCGGGAAAACTAAGAATTTTTCCATATTATAGAACTGCGTGATGCGTATCATACAGATTTAGATCACGCAATTTGTTCAGAACTACAATCCTGAAAACAATATTCAGGTTAACTAAAGAAATTCTAAATTATAAGCAGACAGTACAAGTGCAAAAACCTGTATCTCAGTTAGTGCGTCGAATACTACGCCATCTTGGTTATGCCTGCAATTTATTATATCGTTTTTCCGAAGTCGTTGATGTTCTGTCTCAACGACTTTTGACGTAGTTTTCATTAATTCGTGAAACTTTCGAAGTTTTATTTGATTCAAATAAATATATATGTATGAAGAAAGGGTGACTTTTATGTTGCCAATTTTAAAACAACGAACTAATTCAAACGGTGCCAAGTAGAGTGAAAATAACCAAAAATCTCATTGAAAATACTGTTATATTTTCAAATTGAATAATGTGAGATTTCATATCTGAAGTAGGTGCCAGAGTTCTCGAATAAAATTGGAAAATTTCCCTCGATCACTGTACATGAATTGAAAAGCGAATTACTCTACGTTTTCCCCGAGCTTTCATTGGCTTTGATGACCGTTGTGAATTTTCTCAATGGCGCATACACGGCTCAGCTGTGTGCAATCGCAACCAATTTACGTAGAAACATAATGTATTTTATAGTATTTTTATTCAGTTAGACGAAGTACTGGATACGGTATTCGTGATATTAGGTACGTTAGAGTGAATTTTCTTCTGACATTAATTAATCGATAATGAAAAATACGGAATATTTAGAAAATTCTTCATGACGGATTCAGAAGTACCTGCACGGGATCCACCTTATTTCTGCAAGCTTCCTAACAGACTTCTTTGATTTGTTATTTTCTGAATTTTTTAATTTTCATTGAAATATTAAAATGCAAACATTAAATTCACATTTGTTTAACGATTTCTACAATTTGTATTTTTATTTTATAAAAGTTTCTTTGTGAAAATGACAAGACGAACTGGTAAAATTTTGTTTGCAAGTGTAATGATGAATTTCAGTGCAAAATATCTAAATAAATGTTAGTCTGGGAATTCCTATTTTTCTAAATAATTAAATATATGTTTTGTTTTCACACTGTTTAGTAATCACTGTTTCTTAATGATCTTGACACATAAATCATGTTGAGTCATCATATATTATATTCTGTTGTATCTATTCTCTCACAAATTTGTATACCTTTTAAATTGTGTTATTTAATTAACTTATCCTTCTAGTAAAAGGTACACATGGAACTAATAATTTTATTAATCTTTTACTTTATATTACTTTAATTCTAAATCTATTTATTTGATTTTATAATATTGTAATTTTTATCTTGTTGCATGGGTGCACACGACTAGTAATGTAAATACAATGCACAAATTAAACTATTTTAAACTTATCGATAATCATATCTTTATATTATTTAAAGCTATATTTATATATGGTATTATTTAAATATAGACTTAGTTATTTCATTTATGGAGTACAAAATGTCATCTGTATTTTATGTCAATCTTTGTACAATAATATGACAATAATGATTATATGTTAACATTTATGTACACATACATATATATTTATATACATTTATATGTATATATATAATTTTGTTTCAGGAAACATGGACTGCCCATCCAGTATTGCAACAGTGCATAAATTGTGTTTATACTATATGTAGCCTTTTGCTTTGTATTGTTTTTGATGCGTCAAAAAAAATATTACATTTTTGAAGGAAATTATTCCTAGCTTTTAATAGGAGAGATGGATGTAGTACGAGATGAAGACAGGCGCAGGCGCCTGAGGATGCTGGAGGAACGCGTAAAGGATCCAAGAAGTATCACAAACATTGATTGCTTATTGGATACAGTTCAGGCCCTGGTGGCAGATTGTGATCATCCCAGCGTAAAACGTATGAAAAATATAGAAGCATATATGAATAGATGTGAGTACTTAACCTTTCTGCCCGTTATGGAAAATATTCTTATTTATTATTATAATAGTGCAGTTACTAAAATACAGAGTAATAGATACTTCATTAATTTAGTATAAAGTGTATATTTTAGAAAAGTCAAGCATTTTATTATCAATAAGCAAATCGCTATGTGTTAGAATAATAGTTAATATAATAATACAACGATTCATCTTATGTAATAGATACAGAGGAGTAAATAAATCAGATATAACTAAATGAAACATGTTAATATACTTATTGATGTTGTGATGCTAATATTAATTTTTCAAAGACAAGATGTAATAAAAATTATTTATACTTTCAGATGACTCAGTAGCTCAAGATATTTGTAAAATGCGAATGCGTACAGATGACTTTACCCTAATAAAAGTGATAGGTCGTGGTTCATTTGGTGAAGTACAATTAGTAAGACATAAATCTACACAGAAAGTATATGCTATGAAATTACTCAGTAAATTTGAAATGGTAAGACATGTATAAATCACAAATGGATAATTTATGTGTATACTGTACACTTTATTTTTATGTATTCTACAGATCAAACGATCAGATTCAGCCTTTTTTTGGGAAGAACGTGATATAATGGCACATGCCAATTCTCAGTGGATAGTTCAGCTTCATTTTGCATTTCAAGATCAAAAATATCTTTACATGGTGATGGATTACATGCCAGGTGGTGATTTAGTGAATTTAATGTCAAATTATGACGTGCCAGAAAAATGGGCAAAATTTTATTGTGCAGAAGTGGTGCTTGCATTAGATGCAATACATCTTATGGGATTTGTTCATAGAGATGTAAAGCCAGATAATATGTTACTTGATAAGTATGGTCATTTAAAACTTGCAGATTTTGGCACTTGTATGAGAATGGATGCTGTATGTATATTTTTTTTTTAGCATTTTCTATCAAATTTCTAACAATGTAACATTATATAAAAATATCTTATCTTATATATCTTTTAGGATGGTCTTGTCCGATCTGATACTGCAGTAGGTACACCTGATTATATATCACCTGAAGTGCTTCAATCTCAAGGTGGTGAAGGTGTATATGGAAGAGAATGTGATTGGTGGTCAGTTGGTGTATTTTTATATGAAATGCTTGTTGGTGATACTCCGTTTTATGCAGATTCATTAGTTGGAACATATTCAAAAATTATGGATCATAGAAATTCATTACATTTTCCACAAGAAGTTGATATTTCTCATTCTGCGAAGAATTTGATATGTGGTTTTCTTACGGATAGAACTAAACGTTTGGGTAGAAATGGCGTGGAAGAAATAAAAAATCATCCTTTCTTTAAAAACGATCAGTGGACATTTGAAAATTTACGAGAATGTGTTCCTCCTGTCGTGCCAGAACTTTCTGGCGATGATGATACTAGCAATTTTGAGGATGTCGATAAAGAAGATGGACCAGAGGAAAGTTTTCCAATACCAAAAGCATTTTCCGGAAACCATTTACCTTTTATTGGTTTTACATATTCAGAAGATTATCAATTAATGGCTTCTAGCGGCAAGGAGTCGGTAGATGGATTAGAAAATCATATCAATAATGGTACAAGCGACGATATTAAAATTTCTCAATTAGAAAACTTATTGGATAAAGAAAAGAGACAGGTAGAATCTTTAGAATCAAGGCAGAAAGCTTTAACAACACGATTAGAAGCTATGACACGCCGGGAAACCGAATTGCGTGAAGAAATAGGTAGAGCCGACAAAGAATTGACTTTGTTGAGGCATAACTACAAAGAAGCACAACGTAGGGTGGAGCATGAAACTGAGTTACGTAGAAAAGCGGAGTCATTAATTGTGGAGTTGAAAAAGAAGTATGACGAAGAGCAGACGAAACGAGCACGTGATGCAAGTAATTCACAACAAACTTCTGAACGTGTAACAAGTTTAGAAAAACAAATTAAAGAAATGCAATCGAAATTGGAAAGAGAAACAGAAATGGTAACGAGGTTACGGAAACAAGCTACTGAGATCACTGTTGCTCGTCAAGCTGCAGAACAAATGGCAAATGAATTACAAGTGGAAAGAGCGAAATTACAAGCGCAACGAGATAATTTACAGCAAGAAGTGGCTACATTACAAGTAAGTGTTTATGTTAAAAAAAAAGAGAAATTGATTAGAAATACTCATTTTCAAACATAAACTTATATTTTTATACATAATTTCGCAGGGACAATTGTCGAAAGAGCGTAGTTCTCGATCACAAGCCTCATCGTTAACTGCTGAATTAGAAAGCCGACTCTCTGCTCTTCATGTCGAACTCGAACATAGTCGAGAGAAAGAGGAGAAAGCAATCATGGATAACAGACAACTAACTGAAAAAATCTCAGCATTGGAAAAAGAAGCAGCAAGTTTAACTCTTGAATTAAAAGCTGCGCAAGCTAGGTATAATCAGGAAGTGGTAGCCCATCAAGAAACGGAACGTTCACGCATACTATCCAAAGAAGAAGCTAATTTAGAAGTAGTTAAAGGTAATTTTATTTACATTTGTACTTAATAATTGTAATATTAAGGTTTCTAAAAGTCCATATTTTTATACTGATAAACATGTCAGGGTGAGAAAAAATATTCATTTTAGGCTGCACGTTCTAAAAATTTTGATTTTTTAAAAGTTGCATTTCATTCATACACCTATTTATCTTATAACTTCATCCCCATATAATTATTTTGTTATATCCTTAACCCACTTTATCACTAATTGCAATTTTTCAAATTTCGGAATGCTCGCGCTCGATGGTATTTCTATTTACAGTATGTACGCTATTCCTTTATACTTAAATTTATCAATTTATTGCGAGTTATCCTTATACATGTATTAATGTAACATTAACAGCATTACAAGCAAAATTAAATGAAGAAAAAAGTGGGAGGCAACGTGCTGAATTACTTGCACAAGAAAAGGAAAGGCAAACCTCTATGCTCTCTGTGGATTATCGACAGATTCAACAGCGATTACAGAAACTGGAAGGAGAACATAGGCAAGAAGTTGAAAAGGTAAAAGTGCTACAAGGTCAGGTCGAACAAGAACAGCAGAAAAGAAACATTCTGCAGACTGACTTAGCACAGCAGTCGTCCGAAGCAGGACGATTACGTGCCAGGGAACAGCAATTAGCTGGCGAAGTTGCTCAGCTAAGAGAAGCAAAACGTCAAATAGAGGATGAATTACATCACTTGAAAACTCAAAGAAATGTGGATCAACTACAAACTAAGGAATTACAAGAACAATTAGAAGCAGAAGCTTACTTTTCGGTAAATTCTCAACAAACTATCAGCGAAAAAGCTATTATTTTCTTTTGATATATTTATTATAAATTTTAATGTATTATTTCCAGACACTTTATAAAACACAGACGCAAGAACTTCGGGAAGAACTTGATGAAAAAATACGTTTACAACAAGAATTAGAAGAAGAACGTAGCTCTTTAGTGCATCAGTTACAATTATCTCTAGCGAGAGGTGATAGCGAAGCTTTGGCAAGATCAATAGCTGAAGAAACTGTCGCAGACCTCGAAAAGGAACGAACAATGAAGGAATTAGAATATAAAGATGGAATAGCCAAACATCACCAAGAATTGAATGCAAAAGAACAAATTATAAATCGGCTTAAGGATAGTGAAGGTGAACTTAAGAAAAATGTTGATCAATATCTTAAAGAAAAGGAAGATTTAAATAAACGGTTTAAAGAATTGCAAGATCAACTTTCTAAAGCACAGTCTAATGGTGAAGAAATAGAAAAACTGAGCAGTAAATTGAAAACTGAGCAATTATTAAAACAACAAGCAGTTAATAAGTTAGCAGAGATTATGAACAGGAAAGATTTATCTTCAAGTGGTAAATCCAAGAATAAAGCTTCTGCAGCAGATTTAAGAAAGAAGGAGAAAGATTGCAGGCGTTTACAACAAGAGCTTACTCAAGAGAGAGAAAAATACGGACAATTAACAGCTAAATGGCAAAAAGATTTGCAAGATTTACAAGTAAGTAAAATACTAAACGTCGTTTCATTTTTACAAATATTTATATATTATCTCTAGCATCATTATATTTCTATAGGCACAATTGGTGGAAGAAAATCAAGCGAAATTGAGGTTACAAATGGAACTCGATTCGAAAGATTCCGAAATAGAAACTTTACAAATGAAAATTGCTTCGCTCAACTCAGAAACCGCTAGCGTTTCGTCCGTAGAAAATGACGGAGAAGATTCTGTTTTATCGGAACATGGAACCATGCGATTGGAAGGTTGGTTAAATGTGCCAAATAAACAGAACATTAAAAGGCATGGATGGAAAAAACAATACGTTGTCGTCTCTTCGAAGAAAATAATATTTTATAATAGTGAAAATGATAAATTAAATGCCGATCCAGTCTTGATATTGGACCTAAATAAAGTCTTCCACGTTAGATCTGTTACTCAGGGTGATGTCATCCGAGCTGATGCCAAAGATATTCCGAGAATTTTCCAGGTACATAATATGTTGAACAATTGGTTCCCTACTTATCGAATGATATACTCAATCATATCTTTTCTTCTCTTGTTTAGTTATTATATGCTGGTGAAGGCGAAGCAAGACGTCCTGGTGATGAAGGAAACACACTGCCCGGAGTGGAACTGCCACAACTTACGGACAAACCAGGCACACAATCGTTAAAAGGTCACGAATTTGTGTCAATATCGTATCATATGCCGACTACTTGCGAGGTATGCTCAAAACAATTGTGGCATATGTTTCGACCGCCACCAGCTCTCGAGTGCCGAAGTAAGTATGAAACAATGTTTCGTTCAACGAATTTTTACGTTTTTATAATTACTACCTTGCTTCAAACATATCATTTTCAAATCTCTGTCCATTCGTGGGGTGATGTGCTATTTCTCGCGATTCGTCGTTTCGAATTATATTTTGAAGAGATTTATAAAACTATTTTTTGTAATAAATTTTATTAAATTCATAACGATGTGACATGATTCGTTTTCTTTGGTCAACAAACAAAATAAAAAATCTGCTTCATAAAATAAAGAATTATATATACTAAAATATGTAATGAAATTGTTATTGCGTGTGTACAGGGTGTCGTATAAAAGTTCATAAGGAGCATTTGGACAAAAAGGAAGATGCCATTGCACCCTGCAAATTACACTACGATCCAAACAGTGCTCGTGAATTATTAATATTGGCTGGTAGTCCTGACGAACAGAAATATTGGGTCGCAAGACTGTCTAGACGTGTACAAAAATGTGGCTACAAAGCAAACTCGCACGTCGATGGCACGGGGCAACGTGTCTCGCCAAGGTAGCGTAGCGGTGCGACTCAACATAACCGGAGACTAAGTAGCTCTCTTGTATTGTGGCATCGCATGATTGGGTGTAGCGAGGTTAGAGTCGTTTGATTTTTCTTGCACTCCCATATCTATATACAGAATCGCATTTTCAACGAACATGAAAATACAAAAAAGACATCGTTGGCAGCGTTTCGTAAGTGCAGTGCGCTTAGAAGATATCATTGTTATAGAAACAAAACATAATATAATGGAATGCCATTATTGATTATGTTTCAGATTGCTTTAATCTACCTATCTATATATCTATCTATCTATTTCTATATATATAGATATAGATATAGATATAGATATAGATATAGATATAGATATAGATATAGATATAAATATAGATACAGATATAAAGTAGTTTTGAAATTTGAAAATGTATTATGAAGACTTTAGGTAATCTTATTAAGCGTGTTTTGTAATCATTCCAACTTTTGAAAAATTTAAAAACCGACATAATTGCTTTGTTCAAAATCGAAATTATATATAAATATTGTTCGATAGATCGAAGCAATATAAGCTTTATTTTTTCCGATTATTATTATTGCGGTTATTGATATGTTGGTTTCTGTTTGAGTTTGTTTAAAACTAGAATAGGATATTGTTAGTTGATTCGATTCAATTGTCATTTGCATGCGCTTAAACATTAGCACATTTTTTCGCCGAGAATGATTGTTCATTTTATTTCTATTGATCTCGCTGCTAGTTTAAATATACATACCCTTCAATAAGTAAATATATGATGTCGCATTGTTTTAACTTTGTTTAGTATTAGTAGAAGTTATAAATTGATAAGATTCATAATGCATGAAAATTAATTTGAGAATATTATAAATTAAGATGGAAATATATTTTTTCTGTACATACATACTCATTATAATATTTTGTTTGTATTTTCTTTTTAATGGAACTTTACGATACTTTAACAAGTAGAAAATCATAACCTATAATCGAGCAGCAGCTTAAGATTTTCAGTTGCGAAATTATTTTTACGTTGTAACGAGAGAATTCGTATAATCGTATAGCTTTTTTCTTCTCCAAAAATTGCATGGTAATAATTACGAAATACGATATGCAGAATGACAAAATATATTTGACATTATGCACGGCAAAACTGTTAGATAGTAATAAATATTGACACGTTCAGAGTTTACTTTTAATAGCAAATTGTTTAATGTGATTATTGATAAAAAGTTTGTCATTTAAAGAGTACAGAAGAAAACATTATTATAAATTGATCCTAAATAAAAAGTCTAAAGATTTTAAAAGTAAACTTTGTAATTCTAAAAAAACGGATCAACAAAATCACCATGAATTTCAATGCTTTTTTTTTATTGAAATGGGGCTTTAACATTTATAACTACTAGCTCTTATAGATAAAAACTGTTATTTTGCTTCTAAAGCTTATTTCTTTTTTTTTTCTTTTTATATTAGTCTATACTCGTGATATTTCTTGGTAAATACGATAGTCACGATCTTCCACAAGTCGAATTTCATCGATAACGATTTACATATTTCAGAGAGTCTACGAGATCCACCTTGAAGCCATATTTATCGGTGCAACAACGATCCGCGACTCTGCCAGCAAATGCCAGCATGGGCAAGTGACCTTAGCTAGTATCGATAATACTCGATTGGAATTCGTTGCTTCGACGTCCTTCTCAATCGATCTATTTAAAACATATAAATCCAATCAGTTGGTCAGACAAATGATTTGCAATGAGATTCAAATATGCGAAAATAATTTTCGACATTCTATGTTATCTGGAAAATATCTTGAGACATCTGGAGTTTATGTATCTTAAAAACATCCGCCGATCTGAATGCACAGAGAAACATGTCATTATCAACTTTTTGACGAATGCGAGGATTCTCCACAAAATCGTTCGTTGACATTTTTACTTGTATTGATCGTTATTTGTAGGTACATGTTTGTTAAACGAATCAAACGTGCCTTTAATATATACTGACGATGATGGAACTCGAATGATCTAAAGGAAATTGAAGAAGCAAGACGCTCATCAGGAAATGTTATAAGATGAAAGTTTTCAGGAGGGGGAAACGAGGCGAGTAATAAGTGGGAGTGTGCAGCTGTTATTAACAAGACAAAGTAATGATAATAGTGTTTATATAAATGAATATAGTGATCGTAACGAATTTGAGTATGTGGGCCGCGTTTCTCGGATTTATCAAACTACAGCGTTATGTTCGACATCGTATTCGATGAGCAAGTTTGTCAATGATTTGCATAGTATTTCCAAGAGACCATCATCGCGCATCGTTTTATGAATATTTTTCGTACGTGCGAATGGACTTTTATGTTGATTTATTTTTTCCGTGAATGCTTAAATTCAAAGATGATTTCCCTGTACATAAATTACGGCCGTAAGAACTGCTTCTCAGTTGTTTAAGCAGCTCGTTCATTGACTTTTGCAACGATATTGTGAAATGGGTGGACATTACAATGCTTTCGCAAAAAAAAAAGAAGAAAAAAAATTGTTGTTTGTGCGATATATATAATATTCTCCGGTCATTAGCGATTATTTAAAGGTGAGAACATTGAGAACTCGATAATATTGTGTATTTACTACGCCGGATTGATAGTATTATTATTTTTATACGTTCTGAGATTAAAGTATATCGATATTTAATTACGTTAAGAAGAGAAGGAATGGAATTGATTTTTGCGTAGAAGTACGCGTGCTATTCAGCTGGCTAGAGCGGCTGCCAAAGTTTCTTCTCTTAGTACGAGAAACGCGTTATTATGTTTAATCGAATCATGGGGAAATGCGTCGGTTGATAGATATAAACGTGAGATAACGAATATTGGAAATACTTCATCACAGAATTATTAATGGGAGATACATTATTTAAATTTTGAAGTTGATAGTCTTGGAATATCTCAGATTTTTAAATCATCACGAACACATTTTTAGAATCTTGGAAGAACCTTCTACATTTTTCTGTTTTCTTGCTTTCTTTTTCAAAATTATTGTTGTATTTATTAGTTCAAAATTCTTGTTTTAAATCTTCAATTCATATTTTCGAAGACCTTTCAAGATTCAACAGGCGCTCTGTATATTTTGTGAATTTTCGTTTCTGTTGCCATGTATTCGTTAGAATATGAATGCATATTGCGACCAAGCAATAAAGTAAGGATGAAATTGTAAGAGGAAGAGAAAAAGTTAAATTTTAGAACGAGCACAATGGTAAAATATTAAGGAATACCGCCACGAACGAGCTTCATTGTATAATAGAAATACGATATTTACAATTGTAAGATAAGAATTTTTTAATACGATGTACGATATATCCGCTACAGATTGCTGAAAGGATGGGCGATATGAAACACTGAAAAAAGCGCAAAATCGCGCATGTAGTCGAGAGAGGCTTAGGAACAATGCTATAAAAATTGGTGCCGAGTTAGAAAAGATTTGTACGAGGAGCAACAGAGGCATCAAGATAAAGAAAAAAGGAAAAAAAAGTGTAATGAGCTAATGAAACTTGTTATTATTATCATCATCATCATCATCATCATCATCATCATCATCATCATCATCATCATCATTATCATCATCACCATCATCGCCATCATCATCGTCGTCATGATCACCATCATCATCATCATCATCATCGCCATCGTCGTCGTCATCATCATCATCATCATCATCATCATTATTATTATTAAAAAAATCATTGTCGCCGTTTGTGTTCTATCCACGGTGTACCTCAGTGACGTGTGCGTATATTCATCACGTTGGTCTGGGCCGAGAGAAAAATGAAGTGTCTCGGTCGCTTTACAGAACTTGTCCCGACTCTTCTTAGGTAGGTTGCAACATCTTTCTTTCCATCTGAGACGTCCTTTTATATGGTACATTTTGCGTCCCTTTTCTTCATCCTTTTTCTTAGCTGCCTTTTCCTTCTATTCTTCTTTTTACACTCTGCTTTCATTTAGTTTTCAAGTTTCCGGGAGATAAAGGAAGCTCAGTATGTATGTGACGTCATCCGTTGATTTATTAAGATGTGAAAGAGCTAGATATACGCAAACGATTATGAAAGTAGGAAGCCCACGTTTTTAATTGAATTAGCCCGTGTATTTTACTCTGTTCCGCCTGCCTGTTGGACTATTTTTTTATAGACTGGAAAGGAATTTTCGACAACGCGAGATATAAA